CCCAGTGCACACGCTCGGCCCTCAAGGGGTGACCCAGCCTTGCTCCCCGCATTCCTCCCCAGCCACGCAGCCGGTGGGCCCCCCACAGCTGAGACAGGGCCTGCGCTTGGGGGTGGTCAGGAGCCATCACTCAGAGCCACGCGCTGCCCTCTTGGCCCCAGCCCTTCGCAGCCATGTCTCTGCTTCTCTCTCTGCTTTTGTCTCTTAGCATCTCTCTGATTTTGTCTGTGCCGCAATGAATTCTGTGTTCACTGTGTCTGCCTGTCTTTCTCTGGGAAGGTCCCAGCTTGTTTCTGTTTCAGTCTCCTCTCCTCTCCTTTCTCTCCCCTCCCTTCCCCTCCCCTCTCCTCCCCCCTCCCCCCTTTTCCTTGCATGGGACCAAGTCTGGGGCTCTCTCTGCTCTCCCTCTGCCCCTAGTGGCTCCCCTCAATGGGGATGTGGGTGAGAAATCAGGTTGTGGGCCGGGCAGAGGGCCTGGGCAAGGGACTTAGACTTACAATGGAAGAACTGGGGCGGCCAAGCAGCAGAAAGTCCAGACCCTCAGACCCCCGACCTGCAAGTCAGCCCAGATAATGGACATTGATCAGGGTGTGGGGCTGGGGGGCTCCTTCCAGTCCGGTAGAGAAGACTGGGGGGTAGGGTAGGAGAAGGAAGCTGGGGCTGGAGGTCTCCAGGCCTGAGGGCCTCCTTCCTGTTTGTTGGGAAGTGACTGCCTCCGAAAGCTGCTCAGGAGAGAGGAGGGAGGCCATGACGACTTCCGGGAAGCTGGCCCGAGGCCACCCTCCCTGTGCCCACATGGGGCCCACTGGCCCTGGCTTAAAATAGTGCAGTTCCTCTGGCGGGGCTGCTGCTGCCAGGCCCGGCCGAACCTCACGGGGCTGCTCGCTGCTGCTGGTGCTACCAGCCGAGGCCTGGGGTGGAGGGCTTCACCCAACTCCCCAGTCCTCAGACTGAGGCAGGCGGAGAGTGAGAGAGAAAGTAGGGGTTCCCGAGTCATTCCAGGCTCCGCCCCAACACTGACCAGCCGTGAGACTGGGTGGTCCATCTTGCCTCCTTGAGCCTTGGTTTCCACTTATACAAAGTCAGGTGAGTGGCTGGCTTTCAAGCTAAATGAGATCACATCTGAAGACTCTCCAGAACCTCGCCAGGCATCACGTGGACCTAAAAAATGGGGGTTCCCTTTGCCTCCTCACGTGAGGGAGGGCCTCCTTGGAGCTTCCCTCCGTCCCTGCATGGCTCCGGGGACTAGGTGCGGAACAGGGAAGGTCTGTGGAGAGGGAGCTTGCAGGGAGGGCAAGGATGGGGCTGTGGTCTCCATGGTGAGACTTGTTGCCAAGGGAACAAGACTCCAAGAGCCCTGGGTCTGACAGTTGGGCACTTTTGCCACAGGTTCTGAGAGGCTGGTTTTAGGTGGAGCTACACCCCTGAGGGCAGCCAGGCCAAGCTAGAGAGGTGGCTTCTGGCTTTGCTACTGGGGCGTGAGGGGCCACGGCTCCCCTCACACTGCTTCCTTTCATGGATTGACAGCTTTGAGCCCTAACTTTGAACCAGCCTCAGTGAGTCCTTAAACCCCTAAGACACAGGCACCGCCACTTCCATTTATCTGACAGGGAAAGTGAGGATCGAAGAGTCATCTATCTGGGTCAAGGCCACATACAGCTGGTGAGGGGAAGGGAGACTCCTGTTGGATGTGCCTGCTGTCACACAAGCTGCCTGAGGGAAATGATCCCTGGGAGGGCCTCGGGGAGCCACACCCACCCGGGCCCCAGCACCACCCCCTGCCACCACTTCTGGGGGGTCCTGGCTTCAGACTTACATAACCTGGACGAAGCCGTCTCCTCTTCAGTTACACAGAGATGATCTTACCTCTGAGGGTTTGCTTATCAAGGATCCCTGCACTCCATCAGTACTGGTTTATGTTTGTTCCCGAGGTTACCCACAAGCTCTATAACCTTAGACTAGTTAGTTACCCTTCTGGGGCCTTGGTCTCCTTAGCTATGAACTGGATCATTACAGCACCAACCTCAGAGGATGGCTCTGAGGGATCAGGCATCGAATGCACACAGGAAAATGCTGGGCACAGAGCTCGGCCTTGCTCTGAATGTAAATTCCGTTGTTGTTCTTCACTTCCAGACTATTGCCTGGCCCTCAAGGAACCCCAAACCTCAGCATCAGCTAAGTAGCGATTTATAAATTTAGAGCAGTGTCCTCCCTCGTACTCATGGAATACTGTCCCAACCATTTTAACAGGAGGGGAAAATGCCGCATGCCCGGATACTTCTGTATAAACCCAAATTAATTCTCTTCAGGCAGGACTTCTCAGGGCCTTTAATGTGCCAACAAAAGCTGGGAATTGGAGAAAGTAGGTGCAGTATTTCTCTGATTTTCTGGCAACAGAGCGCCTATACTTTCCCCATGGAGCCACCTTGTGAGTCGTGTTCTGAGAAAGCACAGGGCTTTGGTGTGTGGCATTCTTACATCTGGGACAGCCCTGCTTTTCACATCAATTTGGTCGGGTTTGTTCTTTCCTTTATTGACCCTTTATTGTTCAAGTTTTGTTTATTGGGTTAAATAACAAAAAGTTCAACCAAAGGCCATTCCTGAGCTTTGTTACAAACCCCAGACGTTCAGATTCAGCGCTGAATTGCTAAGGCCGAGCAGGGAGGAAGCCTGTTGTAACTTTGGTATCAGATAGACCTGGATTCAAAAGCCAATTCTGCCAGGTGCTCGTGTCATCCTAGGCCAATGGCTTCATTTCCTCGAGCCTCAACTTGCTTAGGGTGAAATGGGGCCGAGCGCTTCCCTGGCAAAGTGGCTCTGAGCATGATAGGAGGCAGTGCAGGTCAAGCACCCGCGCCCGGCACACAGCAGCCGGCCGGCAGACATGCTCCTCCTCCCCGCGTCTCTGGCTTATCTGTCCCCTCTGTGGGGACAGTTTATTAATTAGTTCTGCAGCGCTTCTTTTGTTCTAAAACCACCTCTTTCAAACCTCAAGGGCTCTCTGGCCCCTTGTGCTGGAGGAGGCTGAGGCATGGGAAGGCAGCTGGGCTTCCCCTCACTTCACACATGAGGATTTAATAGGCTTTGATCAGACTCTCCTCAGCCTTTATCTTCCCAAATTGAGGAGCCTGTCTTTCCCATGTGTTTCCCTATAACCCCCAGCTCAAGCACGGGCCCTTCTCTGATCATATATGAACAGCAAGATTACAGGACAGTCGGGCTTTCGAGTCGGCAGATCTGGGTTCAATTCCAGACCCTGGCACTTCCTGTATGACTTAGGGCACATCCCTTGACCTCTCAAAGCCCCCATTTCCTCAGCTCCCGAAAATGTTGTCTGGCAGAACAGGCATTCACCGGTGGACCACAGTGATACACTAGGCAGGCCACCCACCAGCACACTGCTGTCCCGAGATGCAGCTCCTTCCTGGACCTGGTTCCCGGCTCTCCTTCCTCAAACTCCTGAATGTGGCTAATCCATCCCACTTGCCACTATTCCTGCCCGGTAATCCCTTGTTATACCTGAATAGCCCATATTTTTCTGATTCGTAGCTGGGCCTCCTCTGTCTGGTGACTTGCTTCAAGGCCCACTGTCAATACCCGTCTGAAGAAGCCCTTCTGAGCAGAACCACTCCCGCTGCGAGGCCATTACAGCCCGTGACCAGCCTCCATCACACATGAGCCCACTGTTACCACCAAGGGCTGTGCTCGCCTCGCCCACGAGACTCGATTCCTCTGGCTGTGCCACCTTCTGGCTCCGTGGCCTTAGAGGAGTCCCTTCACCTCACTTACCTTAGCTTCTTTACGTATGGAACAGATGGCAAGGAGGTTCAGGCTTGTGAAGAATCCCAACGGTGCCAGGCACAGAGCAGGCACCTCGGTCAGTTCACGAATTCAAGCAGTTCTAAGTGACACCCCCCTACCAGACCCTTAGCGATAGGGTGGGTGTCAGCGACAAGCAGGAACTCGCTCTGAAGGCATGAGCCAGTTCCTCAGGACACCCCATCGTCCCTCCCCAGAGCCCCAGACAAGCTTCACAGACAGATGCCATGTGCAGGATTCACATTTATTGGTTCAAATACAGTACCTAACATTTTCTAGACATGCATTTCACACTAATTGGTCACATTTCCACAGGTAGTCAATTCACAGAAAAGGGCCCATCCCTTGCCAGCTGGCAGGGTGGGAGGTAGCAGAGGGCCTGGGCTGCCTGCAGGGCCCGGCTATCATTTGGTCCTGCAGGGCTGACGGAGCCAGGCTGGCAGGCAGCCCTTGGCCGGCCCTTTGGGGACAAGGGCAGAGACATCCCGTTTACTTGATTCCTGCACGGACTGTGGGTCGAGGTGGCCCAGGGGTCGGCTGTGGATGCCCGTGCCACCAGAGCCTGCCGGGAGGGTGGTGCTTCCTGTGCCCTGGGTTGTAGAAAGGAAACGGGGCCTCTGCAAGGGGGCGGCTGGTCCTGGCTGGGCAGGTGTGCAGGACTCCCTACACTCGGCCCAGACATTACAACGCACCCACAGCCCCTATCGCAGGCCTGGGATGGCAACACAGACAAAAACACCAACACCCCAGGGCAGGCAGGGTTTCTCTCCCGACAGAAACATGTAAACAGAGCAGGAGCTACAGTCCTCTTTTCCCACAGGACTTCTCGGAGAGGAATCGACCAGGATGTCACTTAAGAGGTAGTATTTTTTTTTTTTTTCTTTTTCATGGAAATCTGAGTCAACAACATTATCACCTTATAAACATTTCAGAGAAAGAAAATAACGCTCACCCAAGGGCGAAAATGACCTGGTGACAGATTGGCCATGCTGGCAAGGCTGGCTCCAGGACTTGGCAGACCAGCCTCCACCAGAAACAGCTTTTTTCTTGGGCTTGGAGCAGGCTCCGGCCTGACTCACAGCTTCCCTGAGCCTGCAGCTGAGTCCTGAGTGAGCTGCGGCCCAGTTAGGGCTACAGGTCCTGAGGGGACAGGCCAGACAGGGACTGGACGGGCAGAGTCCTCAGGCCTCCGGAGAGCCCAGGCACTGCCAGAGCAAGCCCAGCTCGCTCTGACTCGGTGTGCTCGTGGGGCTCCTGCCTCGGAGGAAGCAGTCCGGGCCTGGCTCCCAAGCCCAGAAAAGCAGCTGCTGCTTGTGGCAGCCGAGGGAGGGGTTTCTGGGGACCCTGTAATTAAATACACATCCCTGAGCTGTGGCCCCAGAAACCCTGGTCTCAAGGCTAACCAGTTCCCAGCATCTGGTGGAATGATTGCCGTTTCTCATCCTGAGACACAGATAAAACATCATTTCACAGACACTGGACATAGATGCTTCAAGCTGAGGAAAAAGGGAGGAATGATCAACCGCAAAGGCAGAGGGGGTGTGGGGGCGGGGCAATCATGGGTCAATTTGGGGAAAGAGTAGTAGTGGGTTGTGTTTTTTTTGGTTTAGTTTTTTATTTTTGAGGTTTTTTTTGTTTTTTTTTTGTGTGTGTTTTTTTTTTTTTAATTTAAAAAAATCAATAAAGAAAATAAAAGAACTGGTCTGAAAGAGTGAATTTCTTAACGCAACTGCAAAATTTTAAAAAGCAACGAAGAAAAAAGACACAGACCAGGGGCCCAAAGCTAAAGACTTGGAACCACTGCTCAACTTCTTGCCCTGCTGGGAGGCCAAGTCCCTTTACTTTGGCCGGCCTTGGACATGGCGGAGATGTTGCCCACGCTGGGCTTGTCTGTCTCCATCTGTCCCACTCCCCAGGAAATCAAGAACAAACTAAAGTAAGAAATAGGTAGCAGAGCAAGGCAGCTAGCTCAGAGAGCCCCAGGTCTAAGGACCTGGTGACGCAGTGCCATGGCAGGTCCTCACTTCCCTGCCAAGGGGGTGGCAGGTGGGAGCAGGTGGAGTGGGTGGCTGTCTGCACGCCATGGAGCCCCTCGGCTCCCTCTCCCCCTCCTCTGGCTCCGAGGAGAAAACAGGGAGGTTTGCGCTGCTGCCCTCTAACCCCACAGGCTCAGCCGCCTCCCTCTCCCTCCTGGGCTGGCACGGGGCCGGGGCAGTCCTGCTGAGCCAGGTGGAGTGCTTTGAGACAGGTTCTGGGAAGTTTCTCCAGACTAAAGTCAAGACCACCAAACCTTGTGGAAGTCTCCAAAGCCTACAAGGGAGCCAGAGAATGTGAGTTGTAGGCCAAGTTCCAAGATTCCAAATTTCGTCTTGGGTCAAGAAAGCATTGAAAAGGGAGGGGAAAGCCATGTTTCAATGCAGTGCGAGGAGGTGGGATCTTGCACTGCATAGATCAGGGCCATATTTTTATGGTGGAAAGATTCTCACTTAAAATGAGTGCTGTTGGTGGCAGGGGATCAGAGAGAGGACAGAAGAGAGGGGAATTAAGAGTCCATACACATAACTTTTTCTTCTTCCACTAGCAAAAAGCTACCTGTTAACCAAAAATTATGGGAAGAAAGGCAAAAATACAAACATAACAAACGCCCCCTCCAACCTTTCTCTGTGTCCTTCAAACCAAATTTACAAATACATTAGTGGCTGACCTAACGTCTCCACGCGGCTAGCTACACTCCTACCATCTCCTCATCATACCTGAGTTTGCAATGCAACACATTAATTTTACCCTGTTTAAAAAAGCCCACGTCACAAAAGGACTGGGTGCAGAAGACATTAAAGGCGGCCCACAGGTCAGGCTCTGGCTCAGAACACACGGCCACTTGGCTCAGAGATTCTGCAGGGCACTCGGCAATGAATGGGCTCTTTGTTCTGTGGAATCTGCTGCAAACATTTGTAAAAATGGATTTGTACAATGGCAACTTGCAGAACCTTTCCCCCACTCCACAAATTAACAACTTGCTCTGTTTAATGCTGCATTATTGGAGAGACATGTTCTTCTCTCATCAGAGAGCAATTTCCTTTGATACCCAACCAACTGGTGACATTCTTAATTTTAAAGAAAAGCCATTTAAAAAAATAATAACACCTTGACAGATGGGGTCTAAGTAAAGAAAGAGGCTGCACACAGCAGCCATCTTGGAGAAGGGGGGGTCGGATAGGTGTCTCCTCCCTACGTTGACAAAAGCAGCTCAGAGTCTGACGTGTAGCCAAAGAATGTGACCTAGTTGGTTAAATAAAACATGGGCAAACAAAATATTGTGAACTGAGAAATAAACAGATACACACACACACACACACACACACACACACACATCTACCCACTGACATGTGAAAACATTCTGATCAGAGCTTTTCCTGAGGAACACATCTTTCTTTCTCAGAGCAGTCAGGGTAAGGGCTTTGAGGAGTAATGCTCTGAGTTTTAGATCCATCAAAGGACAAAGTCATCCCTCTGCTGGGTACCCGTAACATTTCACTGGAAAGAAAAATCACAATCCGACATGGACTGCCCGGCTGCTCACCGGGCAAGTGTGCGAGGCTGAGCTAGGAAGAGAGCAAATGGCCTTTGACTACGCAGGCAAAAGGAGGTGCAGGAGGCCCTGCAAGCCCACCCAGGGATGCACCCCTCTCGGTAGTCAGCCTGCTGCATCGGCTGTGCGAGGTCCCCAGGTGGAGGCAGGGACCACTGCTGTGGGAAGGCAGAGAAGAGAAAAGCACCTGAAAGAGTTCCCACAGATACTGTGTGGCTGCTGGCCAAAGCCAAGAGGGGAAGGAACACTTCCTGGGACTAGTGGGGCAGGTAGTGACAGAACAAGGGGCCCAGGCCACAATCTGGTGGGGGGACGACAGCCAGGCCATCAGGAACATGAGGTAGTTTAAAGCCCCTCTTCCTCTCCACGCCTTGGTCAGCCGGGCCACTCTGGGCCTTGGGCTTTCTGTTGAGGAATCCTGGTCTCATTCTGGAGAGATGCGAAGAACTTGGAATGGAATGGAAGGGCAAAAATTCTGGTGGGTGAATGGCCCTCCATGTTTAAGAAAGAGACTGCAGGTTTTGGATCAGTCCTGGAGCGGGAAAGGATGGGATTGGGGAAGAGAAACAGAGAACTCCAAAGGAGGAGTGTTTATTCTTTTAGCAGTGTGGGCTTTGTTTCACTGCCCCTCGAAGGAAGCAAGGTGACAGGACAATGGACCAGTAGTGGGCACCAGGATTCAGAGCATGACATTCTGCTTCGCTGATTTTTCCAGAGGGCCAATAGGAAGTCACATGTGTGAGGGAGAGGAAGGAGTCTAAGAAGGCAGGCCTTGGTAGGTCCAGGTACAGAAGCTAGGTAGCTGGGAGTCCTAGCGAAGCTGGCAGGCAAGCCCACATGATGACATGATTGCCAGGACTTGGCTTGGGTGAAGTCAGCAGAGGCAGTGGTGGGTCCGATGGTGGGGAGGGGACAGCATGGTGTGAGAGCAGAAACCCTTCGCCCTGAGGCCTTGGGTGGAGGGAGGACACCTAACTTAAGATTTGGTTGCTGTGCCCGACTCTCAATTTTTATGCTTCCCAAAGGAAAGAGATATTCTACATCCTCCTCTCCTGCCTGGGTCCCCCACTTTGCTCAGAGAACCTCCTGGCACCACTTTGCCCTTTTATGGTGTGTGCTTTCACCTGGCAATTCTGTGGCTAGAAAAAGGCAGTTTGCTCTCTGACAGACAAATGCACGAGTCTGCTGAGAACATGTGGGAAAGGGAGGCATGGTCACACCCCTCCCTTTCCACTGAGGTAGTCGTCTTTGTCAACATTATGGAAATAGTCATCTCAGCCCATCCCACCCTCCCTCAAATACAAAAGAACTATCTCTAAACAATGACAACACTGTTACATTAAACATCTTCACATTCTGTAAACTGCAAGGAAATGCATCGGCTGCATTCACACAAAAGCATGTGCATCATGTTGAAGGCCATACATTCAACTCTGTCGTGAAATAAATATATAGAAAAATGAGCTTAAAAAAAAACAGACAAACAAACAAACACTCTTCTCGCCATGGAGACAACCGGAACGCCGCTGCCCCCACAGCCTCCACCTTGGTCTCTGGCTCTTTCTTCGGGAGCCTGTCCTGCCCACCCGAGGCTTTGTGGCCGGCCTGCGGAGGGGCCCAGGGGCCCGGGACAGCTCACTCCTTGCTCACACTGGTCTTGCAGGAATGCAGCACCACCTTAAAGAGGAGGGGCAGCTGCTCCAAGGGCACATTCACCATTTTTCCTGGGGACAAAGTGGGAGAAGAAGAGTTAGCAGTGGCCCTAGTGGAAGAGCATCTCCCTCTAGCTGGGCTGAAGAGCAGAGGTGACCTTTTTGAATGACCGGGGCAAAGAAAGTACAAGGAATATCAGAAGGACACAGACTGGCTAACGTCCTGATACCCACGCCCCTTTACGGCCCGAGGTGAAAGTTATAATCATTGCTATTATCCCCGGAATACTTACTCTGTGCCGGGTGTTCAAATACATCATTTTACTTAATTCTCATGCTATTTCGGTGCGACAGATACTACTTTTTATCCCTATTTTACAGATGAGGAATCTGAAACTGAGAGGGATTTCTAGAAGTCCTCCTAAAGCCAAAATACCGCGAGAAACTTACATCCTGTTTTCTCTCTTTTTTCCTGATGGATGCTCTATCATTCTATAAAAATTGCTCTTCAGAGTAATATAATGGGTTAGTAAAAGTCCTGAGAAATCCAGGGTTAAAAAAGGACCTACAGGTTTCTTTACTGGAGGCCTTCTCAGACCACTCAGTGTGCTAATACTAGTACAAGGTGTACCAATTAATAATGCGGATTCTGTAATAAAAGAAAACAGGATAATTTTAAGAAAAACATCAAAAGTGCTTTATTCAAAGTAATGTCCATTGCTAACTACACACTGCCCCCATCTTTCAGGTAATCTGTGGGTACCGTCCCAATAGAACTTTTCTTGTTTTGAGGCAAACCATTCAGAGACCCAGTTTTCCACTTCTTTCTACGTTTTGAAGTGCTGCTCAGAGTGTGTGCCATCCATAGGAACAAGTGGTAATCTGAAGGAGCAAGGTCTGGTGAATACAGCACGGGGGTTAATACTTCCCAAGCAAGATCTTTTAACACGTCTTTAACTGGTTTTGAAGTGTGTGATGGTGAGTTATCATGAAGCAAAATTACTTTGCCGTGTCTTCTAGAACATTCTGGTCGTTTCACGGTCAAAGCATGGTTCAAATTGATTATTTGTTGTTGGTAGTGATCAGTATTAACGGTTTCACCTTGTTTTAGAAGCTCATAATACACCACACCTTCCTGATCCCACCAAACGCAGAGCATTGTCTTCTTTCCAAAGCGATTTGGCCTTGCAGTCGATGTTGGTGGTTGACCTGGATCAACCCATGATTTTATGCATTTGGGATTCTCAAAGTAAATCCACTTTTCATCGACAGTCACAATTCGATGCAAAAAAGACTTATGTCTTGAAGCAACATTTTACTGATGACTTTTTGGTTTTTCATTGTCTTTCGTTCAGTTGATGTGGCACCCATTTTCCTTCCTTTAAAAGCTTTTCCATTGCTTGTAAACGATAGGAAATTGTTTGCTGAGCAACGTTTAATCTTTCTGCAAGTTGTTTTGAGTTTGACACCCATCTTCATCCAATAATGTTTGTAATTTTTGGCCTTCAAACTTTTTTGGTTGACCTGGAAGTTCTTTGACTTTCACATAGAAATCATCACTTTTAAAGCGTTTAAACCAGCGTTCACAAGTATCTTGAGATGGAGCATGTTCACCATAAGCTTCCCGAAGTATATGATAACTTTCAGTAGCACTTTTCTTTAAAATAATGAATTAAAACTTCCCACAAACATTTTTTTGCACAAAATTCGACATTTTTAAACATAAAAAATATCTATGATGTTAACACCTTCAGCAAATTTGACATATGAAGTTTTGAAGCTTGCTGCCAATACAACAAAAGAGCATACATATCAAATCGAATATATATCAACATATGTGTAACTCCATCTATTGAAAAAAATCCGCATTATTAACCGGTGCACCTGATATACAATAAATATTGGGCTGTGGTTCTCCTTGACGCACTGAGAGTCATCTGTGGAGTTAAAAAATACTGATGGCCAAGGACCTCACACCAATTGAGTCAGGCTCCTGGAGGTATAACCCACGCTCGGGTATGCTCTAAAAGCTGCCCGATGAACCCAAGTGCTACCAGGGCTGAGAAGCCTGCTCTGTGGGGAGGAGGTAATTACCAATCTCTGTTTATTTAAGAGAGTGCCTGATGAATATATCTCATTTGGTAGAATATCACTTTGAAAATGCTGAGAAATAAATATCAAAACATCCTTAGAATTCTAACAGCTGAGCTCCAGTTCACATCTGTAGATTACTCTGGGCCCCAAAAGTAGAATAAAAATTCCTTTGTCAAACTGAAAAATGTTCCCTTCAAAGGTGTACTGCTGAACGTGACAGTCTAGAGCTCCGCTTCTGAGCACCCCAGTCAGTGCGGGGCGACTACAAACAACAATCTCTACCAATGAAGTGAGCAGCAATGACAGCCGAAGCCAGGCCTTTCCGCCTCAGCAGGCCTATATCCAATTCAGCAGGGGTCAGGACCACAGAACAACAAACATTCCTTTACAAACACAGGGTTTGAGGGTTATTTTTAAAATATTGCTTTAAATGAATGATCCCCTAAAAACCTATCGGCAAGTCTATGAAACAAAGTTAACCGTTAAAATTGAGATACCATAAAATCAACCCTTTCACAGTTTACAGTCCAGAAACAGTTAATTTAAGAAACTATGAGTCATAATACCACCAACCAGTCTTACAGAGCTTTTTCTAAGATTCAATGAAAAGGTCAACAAAGTACCCGGCACAGCACAGGCAATGAGGCAATCCTCCTGGCCACAAAGAAAACTTGCGTGGACTGAAACGGAGGGCAAGGGTAGGCTGCTTTTACGCAGTTGGTCTTGGGCCTGGAATGAGGATCTGAAAACACTGCTGGTCTCCTCCTCTTCACACAAGCTAAAAGCAGCAAGGAAGGGTTGGAAAGCCAGCCCCCAGAATGTTACCTGCAATATACCGAATCTCAGGTAAGCACATCATGAGGTCAGGAAAGCGGTTCGGCTGATGTGTATATTTATATTCAGTGAAATCCTGGCAAATGTACCAGTATCGCTTGTTCAGCTGTTCCAGCTGCGAGGCACTGGTCAGACCCCTGATATCTGGGAAGAAAACCACATAGGATATGAGAGAGTTTTCTAATGTGGAGGCAACACCAACTCCTTGAATAGATGCATATTTCAATTAGAAATTATTAAACATTGCCACACAGAGGATCTGTACTCTTTCTGACATGGGGGAACAAAGTTCTTAATAAGGGAAGAGAATCGGATCAAGAAGAATAAAAAATATACAGGACAATCACTAGACTGAGCCCCTGAGAACTAAGCGGAATCTTTCTCAACTTCATACTGGTTTCCCAGTACAGGGCTTGACACAAACAGGCACCGGTAGATGCTGAACCACTCACTATCTGACAACCTACCTTTGACAATTTATCCTTCAGAGTATCTTTAAATGTGCCCTTTGCTGGAGCCAATCAGGAACTGAGGACACCTACACATTCATGCTTGTACAGATACTCACATGCTCTCCTGTGTTTCTGCTCATACTACTCTAGATAGAGTTCGCTCTCATTTCTTGCACACACACCTAACCCCCTTTTTAATATACAGAGTATGGGTATTCTACATAAAAACCTTTCCCAGCCTTTGAGGCCAAATTTAGACTCCTCCTCCTCCTCCTCCAGGTAGTTGCTACTTATCTCCCCCCATCTGAGGCTTCAGTAATGTGTCACGTGGAGTATATTTCTTGAGGCCAGGAACCTGGAATCTACTTTACTTTTCAATGTCTTTAGTGGTCACCACAGGACCGGGCCTATGGGAGGCCCGGATGAACGGTGCAGAAGCAGGAGGAGGTGTTGGGGTGGGGGGTTGGCAGTGAGCAAAGAGGAGGGCCAAGAGTCTCTGGACAGGACAACTGACTACAGAAGAGAGCACTTCAATGCCACAGGCAGCAAAAGAGCCCAGCTCCCCTCGGAGCAGAGCACTCACACGCCGCTTTGGAAAAAAGAGAACACAAACTCCCCTTTGTACGCTGGTTACCAGCGGCTACCGAGCCACACCTCGCAGGGAATACTCCACGTCAATCACATCCAGCACACTTCTAGTTAAAAGCCGTGCTTGATATGGGGGGGGGGGGGTGAGCTTTGGTGAACCCCACTCTGCCCTGAAGGGGACTCAGAAGCACTGCCAGCCTGTCGCAGAGGCCTTATCTCCAACAGGTTCATCAGTCACTCTGCTCTTCCTCAGTCACTGGCGAACTTGGTACATATTTTAAATGACGCATGTACTGTCCTTGGTGTCTGCATTGAATGCATTGAAATTGACTAAACAAAGCAAATCCTCTTCCTTCCGCTGTGAGTTATAGAGACTGTGGCATTTAGGTTTGAAGAAAAAACCCACAGCATGCCCTGCACTATAGAGGGCACAATGATGATAGGCCCTTTAAGACTGGTACCCATATGGGGTGTCACATTCTGTGTGACAGTCCTGAGGGTAAAGGGGGGCATGAAACATAGGGAAAATGTTCACTGGCAAAAAAAAAAAAAAAAAAAAAAAAAAAAAAAAAAAAAAAAGAGAGAGAGAGAGAGAGAAAAAAAAAAAAGGCCCCTCTTTCCCACACCCAAGCCACTCACCTTGATTTAAGAAGTTAATTGCTTTCATGCAAGCATACTCCTCATTGCTGACCTTTAGCTGATGGAACTTGTGATACAGGTAGATGAGCCGCTCGATCACCTCCATCCCGTCATCACTGAATCTGGGGAGCAGACACAGGTGTAAACAGTGGGCTCCGATGCCAGCAGAGGTCAGGCCTGGGAAGGCAGGTTTCTGACAACTCTGTAAGGCTCTGACATAGGCAAGAGGCCGAGCTCAGGAGAAATGGAATTCAGAACTATTAGTGAAGGATGAGGGGTCCCTGGTTTGTCTAGAGGCCACGCAAGGCAGCTCACACAAGCCGTTATTCCTAAAGTCAAGTAGGACCGATCAAATCTAAACCCAGTGCCATCATGTAAAAGCTATGAGACCTTGACCTGGCCGGGTGACTCAGTTACTCGGAGCGTCATCCTGTACAGCAAGCATGTCAAACTCAAAAGGCTAACACAGCCAAATAAAAAGTTCAAGTTTATGTGGTCCGCAAAAAAAAAAAAAAAAAAAGCTTCAATTTTCATAGAAATGTAGGTTTATTTCGATAGAGACATGCTGAATACAAAGGGCTGAAATAAATGAGTAATTGCTAACATAAAATAATAGAACATTTTAATAAAAATTAATATTTTTTTCTTGAACATTAACTTATCAGACACTAAATAACTGCACAAATTAATAAGCATAACATAGATAAACCTATTTTTCTTGTTCTCTGAAAGGAAAATATTTCCTGTTGCACACCCCAAACAAATCAGTGCAAGACTAATGATGTGGCAACTGGCTGCTAAAATATTCGCTGCTAGTATTAGTGGAGAGGAATGGTGCTCCTGCACATAAAGCATGTAATAGAAATGAATACAACACGATGATAGTAATCAGTATTAGCGAACATGGTAGCTCGTTATTAATAATTATGTATAACAGGATATCGTAAAAATTATCTAGGTTTGATCCTTCTTGGGGCATGTATGGCAAACAACCAATCAATGTTCCTCTTGTACATCGATACTTCTCTCTCTCTCCTTTCCTCTCTCTAAAATCAATAAAAGCATGTCTTCAGGTGAGAATTAAAAAAAAAGCTCTGACCCTTGTAAAGTAATGTGACCCCTCTAAACTTTGTGGTCCTCCTCGGTACAACAGTGCCTGCCTGCTCAGGTAACAAGGGACAAAGGAGTTTGGGATGTAAATGTGAGAAATATGGCACCGTTAACCCACTGCTACTGTTGAGATGCAGCTTCAGTTTCAGTGGCAGCTCCTGTGACTATGCGAGCCTCGGCCACAATGCAGAAAGAGCTGCTGATTGTATTAAGGTAGGCTCACTGTTGCCAGCAGGGCTGAGGTTATGCACAGTGACATTTTTCATTGGCATCCTTGACTTCAGCTACAGAGGGAAGCATTAACTGAGCCTCCGTGCCAGGCCAGTCTCTGGGCTAACACTTAGTGTGCATTATCTCATTTAACTTTCTCAGGCCTGCAGGTAAGATTATCATCACCCCATACAGATAAGAAACTGAAGCTCAAAGAATAGAGGGCACTGGTCCACAGCAGGCAGCTAGGTAGTGGCAGAACTAGAACTTGGAACCAGAGCCAATTTCCCAAGGCCTTGGTTTTTCAGGTATCTAAGGTGACATCCTCTAGCAAAGAACTCTTTCTTTAGATTAAGTGTAAGCTCCCTGAGGAAATACCAAGTTTTAAGCAAAGGAGAGCCTGGATAGGGGACTAATACCCTGGTCATAGACTAATACCCTGGAATATATATATATATATATATATATATATATATATATATATATATATATATATAGCCTAAGCAACCTTTACCACCGGTCGCCGAAAGACTGGTCACTATGATGCACACTGACCACCAGGGGGCAGATGCTCAATGCAAGAGCTGCCCCCTAGTGGTCAATGCACTCCACAGCGAACCTTCCTCGGCTGGCCAACCTCCTGTGTTTCCCCCCTCCCCCGCCATTCCCCCTTTCCTATCCCCGATTGGGACTGGGAAAGATGACTCCAATCAGCCTCAATCACTGGCCAGGCTGAGGGACCTCACCCATGCACAAATCCATGCACTGAGCCTCTAGTGTCTCATAACAGAGATAGAAATATCACCAAACCAAGGAGGTGAAGGCTTAACGAGGAAGCCAGCATTTATAAAAGCTGGGGTCAGGCCAGTCACCACCCTACTAGGGGGGAGCTGGACTGTGGGCCAAGGAGCATTCCAAACAGGTCTTACATGCATCTCAGCCAGAGATGCTCAGCCTAAGGCTGATTCCTGGCAATTGTGTTCAAATATGGTACTGAACATCATCATACAGCCCCATGTCAGGCAAGAAGGTCCTAACTGGGGATGTACTACTGCTTTCTGCATTGACATTGTAGGCTTTGCAAGGAATTGGCTTCTGGGGCAAGCCAGCCATTGTCAGGTCCAGCAGCACCTGCACTTCTCAAGCACCAGGGGGAGCTGCATAGCAGCTCTTTCCAATCGGATCTCTGACCCTCAGCCTCAAGGTAAGGCTCCCAGTCAGTCTGAGCTTTTGTTTCAGTCTGCTGATCTGAAGTTTGATGGCTGATTCCATTTCTCTCTGACCCAATGGCTTTTTTGACTTTATGTTATTTTCCCAGACTGGCTGATAAGGCAAATTTACTAGGTGTACCAGTTAATAATGCAGATTTTTTTCAATACTAGTATATTGAATCATCACTGTAAATAAGCTTTTCTACCACTGTACCATTTGTTGATGGTTTGCCACTTGCCAGGCACTTTGTTAAATAGTCTACATATGTTATTCCACTGGATATTCCCAATAAATCCCAAAATGGATGCTATCATCCTCCTTGTTCAAGTGGAAACAAAGAATCAGAGATTATTGCATTCTTACATTTTGCCCTCCTGACAACCTATGAGATAAGTAATATCACCTCAAGTTTGGGGTGAGGAAGCAGAAGAGGTACCTTCCCAAGGTTACACAGTAACTGAATAAGTGGTGGTAGGCCAAGGTTTAATAACTACAAAAGGCTAGCACAGGGGACCACAGGGCCTCTGTGTTTCCACAGGAACTCAGGCAGGGTCCACCCAGAAGTGCCCGGCAGGGCTTCCGTGATGCCCTGTGCCCAGGAGTGAGGATCCCTCCTCATCACAGTACTTGGCTGGCTACTTCTGTTCTGGGGAGGAAAAGGTCTTTAGTACAAACTCCCTCTAACATCTGCTTGGAGGGGTGAGGCAGGGATGGCATGAGGTAGGGTATAAAAAAAAGGGGGGGGGGTGTAGGCTGAGAACCAGTGTCAGCATCTGTCTGGTGGCCGAGCAGTGTAGCAAGCAAAGATAACACTCTCTCGCAATCAGCAACCTCTTGCCCCAAGGGCTCACTCTGACACTACAGTGCCTGCAGGTGTGTGGCTACCAGCCAGCCCCCTTGCCCGGAGCGCCAACCTGGTTCCTGGCCCAGTCTTGAACTAAGAGACACAAAGGAGCCCCTGAGTGTCTGGTCTGAGCATATGCCCCAGCTCTCTCTTTTCCGAATTTCTTAGGACCGGCTACCACCATAGACCCGCAGCAGCGATGGGGAATGGCAGCCAGCCCAGCAGCCCCCACTCACTATCCACAGCCCGACTGCAAAGCTTTCCTCCACACCCGCATCCCACCCCTTGATAAACAAATTGTTCTCTGTTTCATGGGCCGGCTTTCTCCTGCAGCCGTGCCTCCTCCACATCTGCCCACTCCACAGCTCTATCGCCCCTGTATTCCCTGTCTACAAATTATCAGCACTCAAAGCCAGAAAGTTGGACACAAACACCCATTCTTCTTCTGGGTTCCCATTACACAAGCATGCCAGGACAAGGAAAACATTCCTGTCAGGATCCCCCAAACCACTGGACCATTCAGTCAGCAATTGAAGCTGACACTGTATAAGTTATGTCCCATTAGGGGGCGGAGAGGCCAGCTGTCTCTTTTTCATTCATCTAAATGTACCTCACTCCCGGGAGCAGTCACCAGCCACAACCTTAGAGGAACTGCCTCTGAGCACCCACACAGACTAAAAGCAAGACTGTAGCTCCAGGACACACCCCAAAAGTCACACTTTTGAGACGGTTAATGAATTTAGTATAGGGTAACGGCAAAGAGTCTGGACTTTGGAAGTCTCCAGCACAACCAATTCAGGCAATAATCTCAACTCCAGCTTTCTCTACCTTCCTAGCCTTGAGTTTTCACCTCTCTGAGCTTCATGCTCCTTACCTGAAGAACTGGAATAATTTTGGTGCAGCCTCTTAGGGTGGTGTGAGGATTAAAATATGTTTGTAAAGCACTTACGGTAGAATTTGGCACAATCAACAGCCTATAATTCTTTTTTTTTTTTTTTTAATCAATCTTTATTGTTCATATTATTACAAAGGTTCCTCATTTCTTCCCCCCGCCACCAGGTTCCCACCCCACCCTCCGTCCCCCCCCCCCTCATTTCTTCCCCCCGCCACCAGGTTCCCACCCCACCCTCCGTCCCCAGCCTCCCACCCAGCCACCGTCCTATAGCCTTGTCCATACCAATCCATCCTGTGATTTATAGCCACAGAGCTTCCTAAAATGCAACTTATGTAATTACTCCTCTTAAAAGTATCCTATGACTATCTCTCTCTCTCTCCCCCAATTTTTTTTTGGGGGGAGAGGCAATAAAAATTTTTGGTGGCCTTAAAAAAAAAGTATCCTATGACTTAATATGACACAATACTAACCATTTACACAATAAAATCCATAGGTGCAGTTTATGTTCAGTCTCTTCTTCCCTCAATTTCCCCAATAGTAAATCCCTTTTCAGATAGTAAATCAGTTACTTAGCATTTTCTCATATCAATAATACCTCCACATGCCCAATGATACACTTCACACAAAAGACATTTCCCACTAGGTCAACCAGCCTCATCCAGGCCCCACCCAAGGCACTCACAGATCAACACCCCAGTCCTAAACTAACTCAACACATCCAGATCTAAGCCTTCATCACTTGATTCCGCAGACCCTCAAGTTCCCACGAAAGTTTCCAGCCATGTCTGAGAAGCAGCCGTGGGGCAGGGGCCGGCAAGGAGCGAGCTGTTCCGGGCCTGGCTGCTCAGGGCCTGGCCTCTGTTGCTCTGGTTCATTCCACAACCAGCTGCTCCGGGTCTGGTCACTGCCGCTCCCGACCTAGTTGCTCTGGACTTGGCTGCTGCTGCTCCGGGCCTGGCCGCTCCCAGCCTGAACAGCCTATAATTCTTAACTATTACCATTATTCATAGCATCAGCATAAGTGCTCCCATGATCACAGCAAAAAGAAAAGTGTATGTTTCCTGAACCTTATAGCCAGGGTCTGAGCAGGGAATCTGGGAGGGGCCGCTAGTGCTCATGAGATACAAGTGCCCATTAAGGCCCATCTTGTGCAAGACAATCTTCTCATGAGAGTGAAGGAGTCTTGATTAGTGCCAGGAGCAGTCACTGGCTGGTGCTACAATCTGCTTTAAATCAAATTCACCCAGGCTCACTGTCTGATAACAGCCTGATTAAGGAAAATGGGCACCATAAATTTGATTCAATATTTGAGAAGAGAAAAGGAGGTGGGTCATGCATCATCTGGGAAAAGCCTTTTCATGACAGCAGGAACTCACTTGCACTCAAGTTGTGCAAGAATAAAGGCATTTTGGGGGAGTGGGACAGCACAGAAGCTGGTGAGGTAGGAAAGAGCTATGGCCAATTATAAATGCCACACCCTGGGTTTCTAGCAGAGAGGGGACTGCTTTACAGTGATGAACTTGATTCCAGAGGTTCTCATGGCTCCATTTCCTCTGACCACTTGGGCAGTTCCACATGCATCTCAGATTCAACAGACCCCAAATCAAATTCAGAGTGGCGCATCACTCACCCTGTTCTCCTCAGGCGCCATCATCTTGGCTAAGAGACTGGCAGCATCCCCAACTTTTCCTCTCAGTGAAGTCCCACTGCCTCTACCTCTTTGCCATTTCCTGACTCTGTGCTGTCCCTGCTGCCTTGTCCAGGCCTTACTTCCTTTTACCTGTGCTAAGAAACAGCCTCCCACCCAGCCACCGTCCTATAGCCTTGTCCATACCAATCCATCCTGTGATTTATAGCCACAGAGCTTCCTAAAATGCAACTTATGTAATTACTCCTCTTAAAAGTATCCTATGACTATCTCTCTCTCTCTCCCCCAATTTTTTTTGGGGGGGAGAGGCAATAAAAATTTTTGGTGGCCTTAAAAAAAAAGTATCCTATGACTTAATATGACACAATACTAACCATTTACACAATAAAATCCAAATTCTTTAGATTAGCACTTGAGCATCTTTATGACCTGTCTTTTCTGTAACTTTCTTTCCAGTCATTTCTTCCCTCATTCCTGTATGTCTCAAATACATTTTCTCTATACCTAATCTACAGGATTGCTTTTGGTTCCTTGCACAAAGCAACTATCCAGGATCTCAACTCATAGGACTTTGCTTTACTCTCCTACCTTCCTCCTATTCTCTAAAATCTACCAAGAAAAAATCACACTTAAAGATGCAGCTCAAATGTCTTTTCTTCTGGGAGCATTCTTTGATAAAGCAAGTAGAGGAACTTACTCCCTACCGATTCCTATCTTTGCTTCCAGCCTAAGTCTCGGCTTGTCTTTTTGCCATGTGAGTGAGTGTGCCAGAGGGAGATGCACCCCAGTCCTGTTTAGCAAAGTATGGGGACTGGAACCCTCTCCAGCTTTCATTGATGAGGATATCTTTTCTTCCTCCTTTCTTGGTGCTCTGGAATCCTAGTCTCTGCTTGGACACTATCTTCACTTGTCCCTCAAACTCCACCAATATCACCCAAAACTGTAGACGGTATCTGCTCTGTGTCTCCCAACCCTCTACACCAAGAACAGGGGCTCTCATCTCATAGAGTCCAAAACCACATCTGCACTATCTGTAATTCCCACACTCCTCCCCCAACATAGAGTAGGTACTTAGTAAATGGGTGAGGAATCAGAACTAACATGATGCAGTTTACTAGAATTTTTCCATTGAAGGCTTCCAAAATTGAGTAAGAATCCTAACAACAAATCTATTTCTTATCCTCAAACCCACTTGAGAGCTTAGCAGCAACATGTATTCGAGTCAGCATTGTTCAACAGAACTTTCTGTGGTGACGGAAATATGTGTTATCTGCACTGTCCAAAATAGCAGCCATTGGCAACATGTGGCTATTGAGCACCTGAAATTGTGACAAGCGCAAAAAAGGAATTGACTTTTTAATTTTAATAACTTAAGTTTAAAAAACCACCTGAGATTGGCAGCTACTACTATTGGACAATGTAGCTCTAGGTTCTCCTTGGTAAGGAGCCTTCCTAGGAAATAATCATCTTCTCACTAGCTCAGCTGTCACTGGCCCCTGCCTTAATCTTGGGGTACAAAGAATTGGATGCAGTGGAATGGAGTGCCTTATGAGGATCAAAGCCGCGGAGTCCTGCATGACCCGTGATCCCTGCCTCCCTGCAGAGGGCCTGGGAACACCCATCACTCTAGAGGAAGTAGAACCCGCAGACTGACTTTGTAGGCAATCCCAGGATGCATTGGTGGATTCCAGACAAACAGGGGACAGGGCTTGCTTGGCCAGCTCTGCAAACCCTGATATATTAGAGCGGGCTAACTGCTATCCAAACAGTCAGGCCCAAGTTACAGAGCAGGAGATAGGAATCTGTTGGAAACAATGAATTAGAGGCTCCAGACAAGGGTTTAGGTCATTTGCAAAATCAGATGTATCTTTTTACAGGACAAAGTGTCAGCTGGGTTCAAAACTATGCCATTTATAGATCATCCTGAAGCCAGTAGGCATCACTGAAAAGAAAATATTAGAAAACGGGAGATAGTCAACACTCCCTCCCTCTGCTGTGCACAGGGCTTGAGGGGATTGGAGCTTTGCTTCCAGCCTAAGACTCAGCTTGTCTTTCTGCCAGAGGGAGGTGTAACCCAGTCCTGTGTAGAAGAGTGTGGGGACTGGAACCCTACCCTCTCCAGCTTTCATTGATGAGGACAACTTTTCTTTCCTCTTTCTTGGTGCTCTGGAATCCTATGACCTCCATTATTTTAAAGTAGAAATTCATGCATGGGTGTGGGGGTTGGGGGTGGTAGAGGAGGTCCCACAGATGGGCCTGCGCAATCTGGCAATCAGGGATCCCTTGGGGGATGCCCGCCTGCCGGCTTAGCCCAGACATCCCTCTCACAGTCTGGGGCTCTCACAGTCCAGGACCCCTCACTCCTTACTGCTGCCTGCAGCGGAGGCAGGAGAGGCTCCCGCCACCACCACTGTGCTTGTCAGCCATGAGCCTGGCTTCTGGCTGAGTGGAGCTCCCCCTGTGGAAGCGCACTGACCACCAGGGGGCAGCTCCTGAGTTGAGCGTCTGCCTTTTGGTGTGGTCAGTGCATATCATAGTGACCAGTCATTCCACCGTTCAGTCGATTTGCATATTAGGGTTTCATTATATGATTGTCCAATAAAGGTGAATTATTAACATGTCTTTTTAAGCTTTATTTTTCATAGGATAAACTACTAAGCCAGAAAGTTGTAGCAGCAGATCACTTGTCCTGATTTTGAGTGTCACCATGTGATCCAGGTCTCCAGAATAAGTAAAAGGCCTGCTCTACACAGGGAGGTTAGAAGGATCCTGGCTAGCTGGGATGAGATTTTATGCTAGAAAAGACCGAGGAGAACCAACAGTCTCCTAGTCCCATGATCTTATCATCTCACTGCATCTCAAAGGCAGTAAAAGAAACTAAGTTTTGCACAGGCATAGGTTCAAAACCAGGCTCAGGATTCAAACCCAAAACCTTCAAGGGCAGGTCTCTCTGAACTTTAGTTTTCTCATCTACAAAACAGACATAACCATACCTATCATGCTGGAGACTGTGACAAACATGGAAGACAATCATATAAAGTACCAATCCCAGTGCCTGGCACACAGTAGGTCTCACTCTCCGATTGAAAATTATCTCTCAGAGTCTCTCACTTTATAAGCAAAGTTTAGATTTTTGTTTCTCTCAGATACATGATCTTACCTCAGTAATCCAGATGTGACAAAAACAACTTAGTACTCTGCTAAGCTTTGCTGCACAATGCCATTTATTCCTCAGAACTACCTTGTGGGAAGGTTATTATCCCATCTGTTATCTGTATGATTACCCTATTCTATAAATTCAGGACCAGAGGATCAGAGACTTGACCAAGGTCACAAAGCCAGTCAGTGGCAGAGTAGGGCTTTAATGCTCATCCTTTGGAGTGCCAGGCAAGCCTACTGCCTTGTAGGCATAGCAATGGTTTGGTTGCTTGGGAACTGCTCCCCAGCAGCCCTCACCTGTGTAACTCTTCATCAGAGGGTGAGTACTTGGCAGTGACATCAGCCAGCTCCCCGAAGATCTGCTTGCTGTAAACGGTGAGGGAGGACAGCAGAATTAACTCCTGCCACGTAGAGCTCAGGAGGCACGTGTAATCCTTGATTGAGAGCTCGCAAAAGAAAGGCAGTTTCTTGATCCAGGCAATCTGCCTAAAGAGCAGCTCGTCAGCCAGGCGGCAAAGCAGGGCAAACAGCTCCGCCTGGGTCACAGCGTACCTAAGGCGTGGAGACAGGGGAAAGTCACTTCCAGCGGCCATAGGGTGAGGACGGGGCACAGGGAGAAGCAGCTCCTAGGGCACAGAGGGCACAAAGGGGTTCTGGCAGTGGGCTCCTTGCCTATCACCATGGATCTCCAGCGCCATTCAATTCTGTCTGATAAAGGCGCAAGGCTGGGGCCAGCAGCAAACTCAGGGCCAGAGAGGCAGGTTTGTGAGAAAAGGCCGCTGAGGGGAATGGAGGCTTAGAAATGCGTGCAGTGATCAGGGAGGGACTATGACCTTTTTAATGTTGGCTTCTACTAATGCTTCATGCGTTAAGAGAAAACTCCCAGTCATTCCTGAACTAGTTTTGGTAATGAGGGCTCCGGCTCCATTAGGGGAATCTGGTGCCCACCTAATACAGTGTCTGGCAGAAAAATGAGCCTGGGGCCAAATGGCTGAGAAATTCCAGAACCAATTCAGCTTTTCCTGCTCTCACTGCACCCCCTGGTGGTAAGAGTTCAAGCACTAGAGTCAAGGGTTGCTAAGCCCTTCTAAGCTAAAGCAGGAGGGAAAGAGCAGGGCATTTCTCAGCTCTGGGCTGGAAGACAAGGAGCCCCAATGTACTTTATCTCAAGGCCCCTTAGCATGACTCTTCCCCACACCCCCATGTCCAGATTTATAAAGTTTTTGTGTGGCCTTCTTCTAGGGAGATTTGAATTTCCTCTTTGAAATTAGAGACTAGCTTAAGAAATCTCAGGATACCTTCTGGAGGTTTCTAAGCTTGGAAATACTCAAATAGCATATGCTCCAGGCCAAAGGAGTAATGGGTAGCATAATGGAACAGCAATGGGTAGCCTAAAGGCTGAACTATTACCTACTCAGGTAGAGCCGACAGAGGAGTGAAAGGGTATTTTCTTCCATCCATGCAGGCCTGCACAGAGCACAGGGCACCAGGCTCCATGGGTATTTTGGCTAGGGATGCAGACAGGCTACCAATTAGTGCCTTCAGTGTCTGGCTAAGCCTAGGCTTGATGTATGATTGTACCCAGAATTATAGCTCATCTCTCGCTCAGAAGTGCTCAGACCCATTCCAGGGTCTGGCTTATCTAGGCCTAAGCAGAGACAAAAGCCCTTTATTCCTAATTCCCCAGGGATTGATAAATGGCCCCAATTCTGTAAGATGCTTCATATTCTGAAGCCCAGGACAAAGCAGTTAGGGAGGAAGGTGGATGCAGGGTAGGGAGCATTTCAAAGCTGCAAGGGCTAAACAGGGCAGGGCTCACTCACCCATCTTCGATCAACATGGGCGTGCCCAACGGCTCCAGGTCCTCAGCTGACACCAGCTGGTGAATCAGACTATATGACTGGGGATCCAGGCTGCGAGCTTGTGGGGGCAGAAGTGGCGAGTGGGCAGAATAGTTAAAAAGGTGCGGTATGTATTGATAGTGTGGAGGCACAGACATCCCCATGTACTGCTCCCTGAATGCCATGAATCCATTTAGTTCCACAGACCTACTGGAGAGAAAAGTGTCATGTTAGTCAGAACCTGGCAGGGTCTACTTCCTGCTCAAAGGGAATGAGCAAGAAGGTGGCTCGGGTGTTCTCTGACCATGCAGCCTGTCTCCATCAAGCTGGGGACATAATTCATGGTTACATGCACCTCTCCTCTACTGGACAGGGACTCTGCGAGTGTGCGTACGTATAGGTTACCACAGGACACCCAGGATTGGCAAAGTAGATACTGAGTAAATACTGGCTAAATGAATTCTTCATACAGGTGCCAAGGTTAGAGACTCTTTAATGGATAATACTCACAGACTATGATGATAAAGGTGAGTATTTTGGTTTTTGCTGCTAAGAAAACTGAAGACGAGACAGGTTAATGCCTTGCCAGGCCATAAAACAAATCCAGCACTTAGCAAACAAATCTGGCAGGTGGCAACAACTCTTTAAACATTCAAAGGAAGGAACAAACTAAGGAACAACTGAATGAATAAAGATTATAATATGAAGAGAAAGGCAGATTCTTATCTTTCTTTTCCCTGTTTTTTTTTTTTTTTTTTTGAGAAATTAGCTACCCTCAACCAATTTTTTAAAATCCTGTGGCTGCAAGAAATAAATAAATAAATAAATAAATAAATAAATAAATAAATAAAAATCCTGTGGTTTGCTGAAACTGGTTTGGCTCAGTGGATAGAGCGTCGGCCTGTGCGCTGAAAGATCCCAGGTTCGATTCCAGTCAAGGACATGTACCTTGGTTGTGGGCACATCCCCAGTAGGGGGTGTGCAAGAGGCAGCTGATTTATGATTCTCTCTCTTCGATGTTTTTAATTCTATCCTTCTCTCTCTTCCTCTCTGTAAAAAATCAATAAACTATATATATATTTTAAATCCTGTGGTTTTACCTAGATGCACCTCTTATAACAGTATTAGCACACTATGGCCCATGGCCTGTTTTGAAAAATTAAGTCTTACTGAGACACAGCCACTCACTCACTGACATAGTGACTCCAGCTATTTTTGCACTATGATGGTACAGTTGAGCCCAGACCATAGACCCGCAAAGCCTAAAATAGTTACTGCCTGGCTTTTATAGACAGTTTGTTGATCCCTTTAGCCTTTTCTGGTAGCCGATGGCTATATTTCACACCTAACAACTAACTTAAGGCACCATTATTGAACCAAAAGTCTCCAAATTGGTATTCCATGATAACAGCAAGTCTTACTAGGTTAAAAAGTTTTCCCTGTTTCTTAAAATTTATAAAGTTTCACTCTTGTGGAGGCAGAGAATTTAATATTGTCAGTGTGGCTTGTTTTACTTCAGTGATAAAGTAAATGAGAGAAAATAGCTACAACTAAAATGTTTACTATTAGGTAAAAAATGTTATACTCTTAGGTAAAGACTTAGGTAAAGAATGTATGCACCCAGGTTGCAGCTACAGCTCTTTATCAGGCTGCAGAAGAGATCTGACATTTTCTAGGTTCTTAGCAAAAATGGGTTGTGAAATGATGAACCCTACCCCAAAACACTGAGGGAGTAAGAATGCTGGTTGAGGCAGGCTGGCAGGAATACCCAGCACAGAGGTCCCTGGTGGGTCCATTCTCTGTGTGACCTCTAGATGATGCTGGGCTGAAACTCACCTGGAGGACATAGTAGAGCCCGGTGAAGGCTGGTTGCTCTCTGAAGCCCTGTTCCCAGGGGAACTGTGGTCGCTGTCACCATGGTTGCTCCAGTGATTAGCCTCTTCCTCAAATTCCTGCCCAGACATGATCCTTTCAATCTCTTCTTCTGATATCTTTGACAAGGAATTGATACATGTTAGATTAGGTATTCAGGATTCCTTCGGTTACTTTAAAACTGAGAACTTATTTCAACTTCATGGGGATTCCCAAACCTTCTCAAGAAATACCCAGATCCCCTTCCCGCTATCCCCATACTCCAGGCTCATCACTAATTTAGGATGGCTTGCTTCCCATCACCATGGTTCCCCAGAACCTTCCTCTTGCTTATTTAACCTCCCTCAAGCCATAAAGCCTCTAGGTTCTTCATCACTCCTCTTTGTCCTCAAGTCTATTCTTTCCTACTTCTGAATTGCCCCTCTTCCATAATAAAGTATTATTTGCCATTTAGGACCCAACTCAAATGTCACTTTCTTTGTGAACCCTTTTAACACTGCACCTAGACAAAATTTTAGGTCCTTTTTCTGTCCACTCATAATTCCATGCATTCTGAGAGAGAGAGAGAGAGAGAGAGAGAGAGAGAGAGAGAGTTCGAATAGCATAATGGTTAAGAGTATGAATTCTAGAGTCAGACCACCATTGTTCTAATCCAGTTTCTACTTCTGCCACTTTCTAGTTGTACAATCTTGGGCAACTCATTTAATAATCTGAACCTAAAATTCTCCATATATATGGTAGAGAGAATAATATTAATAGTTATCTATCTCATAGGTTTGATGTGAAGATTAGTTAATACATAATCACATGTTTAGAAAAGGGCCTAGCCCATAGCAATAATTATGGAAGGCTGACAATATCTTAATCATTAGTGTTATTTTTATAGCATTTATGGTAATGAGGCATAAAAATATCCTCTACCATCTTAAGACTATGACAGGATTTAAAAAATATAAATAACTAGCCCTGACCGGTTTGGCTCAGTGGATAGAGCATCGGCCTGTGGACTAAAGGGTTCTAGGTTTGATTCAGGTCAAGGGCATGTACCTTGGTTGTGGGTACATCCCCAGTAGGGGGTGTTCAGGAGGCAAATGATCAATGTTTCTCTCTCATCGATGTTTCTAACTCTTATCCCTCTCTCTTCCTCTCTGTAAAAAAAAAAAAAAAAATCAATAAAATGTATTTTTAAAAATAACTAAGTACTCAATAAATGCATGATGGATAACTGAATAAGTGCTCACTTATTAAATATTGACAAAAAACCTTCACATGGATTTTCTTAGTAAGAAAGCTGAGATAAATGAATTGAATTGCCCAAGATCACTGGCATGCCCATGTTTGGGCAGGAGTTTGAGGGAGAGGCCAAAACATTCACGTATTCAGTCTAGTGCTCTAGCTACTATATCATATAGGGAGTAAATGAACACTTCTATAAAGTGTCTACCCCAACTGGCTAACCTCAGCATGCAGAAGGAGAGTGAGTGCTGAGGAGGAAGGGCCAAATGAATTTTTATTTCTTGCTCTTATGAAAAGAACGGGAAAACACTGTCTCCTAAGTCTGTCTAACTCATACCCACGTAATTATTTGCTCCAGGAGCCTGTAAGAAACATTGAGCTGTTTTGACCATAACTACAGGTGGCATTTAGAAGTGAAAGTCAGCTAGCATACAGGAATTGGAGAGAAAACAAGAAACATTTAACTGATGTACAGGCTGAGTGATTGGTCTTGTATGAAATGGCTTGGGTTGAATATTGGAGTGTGACCTAGAACTCACCTGGACTGGCCCAATGCTCTTATTCCGGCCTCCAGGCATGCCATCTTCTCTGATTGCTGAAAGGAAACAAGCAAGACAGTGACAAGCATGCCACAGAAGTCAAGGCACTGAAAGAGAACTTCTTCAGCCAAAAGCACAGGGTAGTAATTAGTGAAGCCAAGATTAAAGCACAGGTTCTTTCTGGCCTCAAAGCATGTACTCTTATTCCAGGCTACCTTATAGGCAGCAGATACTTTTGGGCCCCCAAAGTGCTGGGTACACACTATACACACTTTCTATATTCAATATGCTCAACCAATGTGGCTGCATTAATAATAGTCCCACAGTTACAAATATCCTATTAGGATGACCCATCTGAAGACTGGTAAATTCAGGACAGGAATAGAAAGAATATTTTCATTTTTTAAAAATATATTTTATTATTGATTTTGTACAGAGAGGAAGGGAGAGAGATAGAGAGTTAGAAGCATCGATGAGAGAGAGTCATCGATCAGCTGCCTCTTGCACACCACCCCGTACCGGGGATATGCCTGCAACCAAGGTACATGCCCTTGACCAGAATCGAACCCGGGACCCTTCAGTCCCCAAGCCGACGCTCTATCCATTGAGCCAAACTGGTTTCGGCAATATTTTCATTCTTAGATACTGTTTATTTCCAGGGTAAGTTTGAGTCTAATTTGTTGAATGATAAGTTTTTTTAATTTATTAAAAAAAATTAATCAGAATATTGACTTTCATCGTTTCTCCCTATGAAGGCAGTCAGTAGAGTTCCCTTGCCATTGCTTTTCTACTCGGACAATTCAACAACAGGAAGAAGTTATTTAGGAGTTTCTTTTTTTCAAAATATATTTTTATTAATTTCAGAGAGGAAGGGAGAGAGAGATAGAAACATCAATGATGAGAGAGTAGAGAATCATCGACTGGCTGCCTCTTGCACTCCCTCTATTGGGGATCGAGTCCACAACCTGGGCATATGCCCTTAAATGGAATCGAACCTGGGACTCTTCAGTCTGTAGGCCAACGCTCTATCCACTGAGTCAAACCAGCTAGGGTTATTTAGCATTTTCTAACTGTAAAAAGCATCCTTTAAATAGTACTAACCTCGTTAAGAATTACAACTACTAATACTATTACTATCATCATTGATGCAGCCCTTCGTATGGGAACAAAAGAAGAGACCCCTAATTTGCAATTATAGAAAGCCTCTCGTGTCTGGAAAAGCTTTGTAAAAAAGATAACTTCAAAACTGAATCTTAACAGACGACCAGGATTTATGCAGGCAGGGAAAAGGTCTCCAAGCTGAGAGAACAGCACACAGAAAAGCTGCAAGTAAGCATGGAGGCCTCTTTCTGGGAATTTCCAGTGGTTCAATCTGGATGGATGAGGGGGGAGGGCCAGAGAGAGAAGGGTAGCAAGAGATGAGGCTGGAGAGGCCAACTGAGGCCAGATCACAGAGAGCCTTGAATGCCAGGCTGAGAGTATGCCCTTTAGCAGAGGAGCCTGAGGATGACAGAATGCAGGAAAGGGATAAGGTCAGGCTGCCATTTTTGAAAAACCCGTGATGGCCACTGTGGAGGGTGGTTTGGAGAGAGTAAGAGGATAAACTAATGACATCATATGAGAACAAGCTTTGCTATAATATACCTACTCGGAAAAAAATTACCATGTAGAATATAGGAAGTCCTTGGGGTAGGTTTGGTTACCTCAAAAGGTGAGGGCTCGAATCATAACAGTACCTGTGGTAACTGAAAGGCTGACAGGAAGTTCGTTTTCCTTAAAGCAGACGTCATTCTTGTTATCCTTAGGTTACACTTCAGAATTATACAAGTTTTGGTCTAATCCTGTTTCTGCCTTGTCTGTACATATAGACAAATTTCTTCACATCTCTGAATAAATAAAACTTCAGAATAAATAAAATTTACTGAAGAATACAGAGGGGCTTGTTTTATGGGCTATTGAAAAGATTATATATAAAACAATACAGTTCAAGAACCAAGCATAGAGCCTGGCTTATAAAGTAGGTATGCAGGAACTAATCCTTCCCTCTCCTCAGCCCCTTTTCCCCAAACACAGGAGTTAAAAAACTAAGGTTCCATTCTCAACTTTGCTGGAGCCGTTAGTATCTTCATCTGTGAAATGGAGGCAACATAGTCTTTCCTGTGAATTTGGAGGGAAAAAAATATATAGCCACATATATAATCTATGTTAAAATCGTGTCTGGTTTTCTGGGAGCCCTCTTTCGATGCTCTAACTACTAAGTTACCTGGCCAAGGCCCATCTAGGCTCACCTTACATTTTCCCTGTCTCAGTCCTAGAATCAATCAATTCTCCAAGGATTCCTTTTATTGATATTTAGAAACCAGGCCAGGCATGCTCATTGCTACTGCGGTGTCACAGCTCTAGCCACTTTCAATAGACAACTATATATACGTACACCAACTCATGCATCTACACACTTTCTCTCTGTATTTTTATCAGTCCTCCTAAGCATGAGTTCAAGTTGATCCCTCTGATTTCAATCTGGCACCAGAGATTTCATTCTATCCTTCCCCTTTCCTGATTTATCACTTCTTTCTCTGGTGTGAGAAACCTGACTCTCAATATCTACAACATATTTGTTTACTTGTCAGTTCAACTCTAGTTGCCAAATAAAGCAGTGAGAACTCTGAGAGAAACAAATCTACAAACTAGGGTGCTTTGTTTGTATGCAGTTCTTTTTTTCTCCAACCTTATAGTATAAAATCAATACAATGCTTTATCAAGGTCAGCCCCTTTCTTTCCATTCCCTTCAGTTATATTTGCTTGTCACAATCTGCATCTCCTCCCATACACAGGTTACTTTAAAAAATAAACAAACCAAAAAACAAACACTATATACAGTAAAATTTATGGGGCATAACTTTATAGGTTTTTTTTCTTTTTAATATATTTTATTGATTTTTTTACAGAGAGGAAGAGAGAGGGATAGAGAGCTAGAAACATTGAGAGAGAATCATCGACCAGCTGCCTCTTGCACACCCCCTACTGGGCATGTGCCCGCAACCAAGGTACATGCCCTTGACCGGAATCGAACCCGGGACCTTTCAGTCCACAGGCCAACGCTCTATCCACTGAGCCAAACCGGTTTCGGCAATAAATTTATAGGTTTTGAAAAAGGCACAAAACTAGGTGTTGAACATCACATTTCCATGCAGGACAGTTCCTGATTCCTTAAGTATTCCCCCAAATATTCCAATGGCAACTTTAACTGCACTTCCCTAGCATCAACCAGGAGGTGGCAGTGTTTCCTTCATAGAGGAAGCCTTCACCAGGGAGCTGAGACTGCTTGCTCAGCATGTGCATGGTCCTGGCAGGCAACTCCCTTTCCTCACATCCCTCCAGTCATCTGGCTATGGTTACAAAGGTCAAAGAGGTTAAGCTCCTTCTTCCCGAAAACAGGTGAGTTTGCCTGGAAGCCTCAGAAATCTCACACACCAACCGAGTAAGCAGAATGATTCATCTTAGTCAAGAATGCAACCACAAATATGCTTTGATAAAATCTTCACAGTGAAATAAACAAACAAAACCCCACCAAAAATCAAACGAAACATTTTTTTTTTCATAGTGAGGGTAACAAAGGGAGATAAAAAAACAAAATTAGAGCACAACGCCAAATCAAGTAAAGGTGGGGAGATTTTCAAGGCATTTCTTGTTTGGTGTGGACAAAATAAGGGATTCTGTGGAAAGTAACCTCACAAGGTGATCTGATCATAAATTCCTGACTGGGAAGGTCATGGCGGGTAGTCACGTCCCAAACCTATTACTTCTTTAGTAAAAGATTTATCTTTGCCTTAAGCAAGCCTGGTCCATTGTTTCAGTGCATCTAGGTTACCACACCTTTGAAATAAACTGTCCTCAAGAGAGCACATAATCTTAACTACCCTGTAATCCAATCCACATGACCACCCTGAAGACAGTGCATCATCTTAACTGCCCTGTAATCTCCCTTACATTCCTTTCTTGATCTCAAAATGCGTAAAAGAAACCGCAAAACAGTAGTTCTCCAAAGCAATGATCTCTCAGTCTGATATACCTGCTTCCAGGTATATTCTCTTTTTGGCTCAACTAAATTTTTATGAAAATTCTCTATAGGTTTGGCCATTCTTACACTGACACCACCACTAAATAACTGGAGTAAATCAAATTACCTCCCGAAGTGGCACCGGTAAATTGAGGGTAACAGTAAGAGGGTTGGTTGTGTGTATGAGATAATGCATAGAAAGTGCATAAGTTTTTGGTACCCACAGTGCTCAAAAATATAAGTACTATAAATAAATGATTTAAATGTATCTCAATGAGCTTCTCCTATATCTTTTACCTTTTTTCATAATGGACAAGTTTTCAGAAGATTCTTATCCCACACAATAAAAAAAAAAACCAATCTGGCTCAGGCCAGTGTTGCTCAAAGGTCAAAGCGCCAAATGGTCGCAGGTTAGATTCCTCGGTTGCCAGTTCGCTCCCGCCCCAGCTGGGTATGTGCAAGAGGCAACCAGTAGATGTGCTGTACATCGATGTTTTTCTCTCTTTTTCTCTCTCTTTCTCCCCTTTCCCCCCTCTCTTCTACTCTCTGAAAAGCAATGGAAAAAGTATCCTCAGGTGAGCTCACAATTAACAACAACCCCCCCCCCCCAAAAAAAAAACACCCTCCTGCTCTCATTAATGCTATAGATCAATTTGACCAGTTCACTAAATCAGACTGCCTCCCACCCCTGCATATTAATCAACCCCTAACACCTTGCTGGACAGTTTTTATACATTGTCACATTAATTCTCTACAGAACTCTGAAAGGTTAAGTATTACCACACCATATTACAGGTAAGATAACTGAGCATCAGAGATAAAAAACAAACTGCCCAAGGTCACAGAACTAGTCTGTCACCAACGTTTGCCTCCAGAGCCTCCAAGCTTTCCATTGAACTACTCCTCTCCACCATCCATGAGAACGTCCTACAGTTGGGACAAAGTTCTCTTTGCGTGATTTCTACTCACTAACAAAATCTTACCACTTCTATGCCAACAACTCCATCTTGCAGGCAGGGCTTATCACCGCAGTTCCAACTCCAGATGTCCAACTTCCTTGGTGGATATCTGTATGTGTCCTTCTCAAGTACCTCAACCCTGGCATTATCAAGGCCAACATTTTGCCCCACCTTGCTTTTTTATTCTGACTTTTTTTCCTGGGAGGGTCAGTACTATTTTTTAAAAATATATTTCTATTGATTTTAGAGAGGAAGGGAGAAGGAGAAATAGAAATATCAATGATGAGAGAAAAATCACTGACCAGCTGCCTCCTGCACACCCCCTATTGGGGATTGAGCCCGCAACCTGGACATGTGCCTTGTCCAGGAATCGAACCATGACCTCCTTGGTTTATAGGTCAATACTCAACTACTGAGCTACACCTGCTGGACGGGAGGGTCAGAACTATTAATACAAATCTTCAACTTCAACTTTTGGTGCTGCTCAATAGCCAGTATGTCACCAGCTCCCACCAGGTGAGCTTCTCTCACATCTCCCCATCTACGGCATTACTTGCCCCTCTTCAAGTCCTTCATACCTTTCTCTTCACTTCCTTAAATCTTTCAAGGTGACTTTTCTTCTTTCCCCACCCCAAAGCATTCTTCAAAGTTGCCCTCTGGATAAATTCTCTTAGAATATTGGTTTATTTTTGTCATCTCGGGGTAATGACTCTTAGAAAGTTTCCCAATAAATCCCAAATTCTTCACCAATATGGTTGCAGACTCCTGAGCATACCTAGCCTCTGAGTTTGCCATGATCCTAACAAACAAAATGATACTACATTCAGAGGACCTACTACCTTCCTATCTTTTCATAAAAAATCCCCACTCCCTGTCATCACACCCTGAGAGAAGAACTAGTGGAGCATATGAATCCCAGTTAGCACCTGATTGTTAATTGGGATCTTGCCACATGGAGCCTGTGCATTCATTCTCACAGAATCCTTAACATCTCATAAGTCTTTCTCTCCTCGTGAGGTCCCTGTAGGCAGGAACTGTGTCAGATTCACTTTTGGATTATGAGTACACAGTATAGAGCTGGGCATATAGTGCAGGCTTGGAAATGAATAACTCCAAGGCTTAATAGCTGACACTGAAGGTAAAGTGATGGATGAATGGTGGATAGTAGAGCCACAAACACCACTCACCCTTCCGGTTCATCCCCATCTGGAGGCATTTGAGCAGACGGCAGTACTGGCACCTGTTCCTCTGCTTCCGAGACATGACACAGTTCTTGTCACGACTGCACCGATATACCCGCTTGTTGCAAATGCTCCGCTTGAAAAACCCTTTGCAGCCCTCACAGGAGATGATTCCATAGTGCAAGCCTGTGGCACGGTCCCCACAAATGAGACAAGTTCGTTGTTCAGCCCGATCATCTGGAACAGAAACTGAACATATTCAAGTTAGAATACAGTGGGGATAATGGCTTTAAGCCTGTACTTCTAAAACAAGCAATGCTGCCCTGGATAGATCAAGAACATTACTGACAAACTGACAAACAGGAGCATCGTTAGAATTCTTGTCCTAGGAACAGATCCCTGCAGCTACCAGCAGATACCACAAATACAGCCTATCAGAAAAAAGAACTCATGTTCCACTCCCTAGTTTTTATCATCACGTAGACCAATATCCAAGCCAGAACCTGGGAGACATCCCTGACTCCTCCCTGTCCCTTAGCTTCTTCAGCCACAGCTCACTTTTACCCTCTGCTGCAGTCTTCTAAATCTTAGGAACCAGCTTTAAAATTTTTAAAAATCAGAAATTATTCTAGTGCCGGAACTATTGTATTAAATTTCATTCCTTCTAATTTTAACACCCCTGCTGAGATAAGTAAGGGTAGATGCAGAACTTGGAGTCTCTATGAACACAATTTTTCAGAGGCAAAAATGTCAAATTCAAAGAAATAACGAGTAATGCAGTTGGTATGGTTGGTCTAGAAGATCAGTAACAATCTGAACTAGGTCCAGAGCCCTAGTAACATCTTTTCAGAGCACCCCTGACATATAGCTGCTCAAATAAATGCAAGTTCCATCTCTACATTATTTAGCAGGAATAATAAGTAAATGAGAACAAAAATATTTATAAACAAATCTGGCCACCAATCTGACCAGAATTTTACAATTCTTAAGTTCTTGTTTTATAAAAGCAGAAGGACTCCATATTTATAACTAACCAAGATTACATTGAAAGTTAAGTCTCAAAGAGATTATTTAACAGCAACTTCTGATACCATGATTGCTATAGAGAAAATGCTCATTTTATTGAATGAATGGACATCTATATATATAAAAGCCTGATATGCAAGGTGTCCCCTTGGAAGTTCGACCAACTAGGAGTTTGATTGCTCTTTATGATGTGCACTAACCACCAGGGGGTGGTGTAGAATGAAGGAAGGTCCTGGCTGGCAGCTGGCAGCCGGGGAAGGGAGGCCCCACCTGGCAGCCAGCAGATGCTGTGGACCCGACTCATGCACGCATTTCGTGCACTGGGCCTCTAGTAAATGAATAAAATGCCATGTGCAGGGCTTTCCAAATTACAAGTCATAACCCACAGTATCATGACTAGTATTTTTGGATAAAATAGAAAATAACAAAGTAAATCACATGTAGTAAGGATAAAATATTGGGAAAACTTTCTTTCAATTAAGGTGTGTACATTTATGTCAGTATATACATCCTGCAGGAAGCTGAATCACTTCCTAGCTTTGTACCATGGACTCAAATCTCTAAGTCTCACTATAAACTGTAAAACAGATGACATTAGCACTCACCTCATGAAGTTAGTAGGGAATAAATGATGTAGACATACAATAATAACAATTAACATATACCGAGAGCTTATTATGTGACAAGTTTTGTTCTATATGTATTACATATAATAATTCACTCACTCCTCATAACTCTATAAGTGAATATTACTAGTATATCCATTTTGCAGGTGGAAAACATGAACTATACATAGGTTAAGAAATATGCCCAAGATCCCATACCTAGGAGGGAGCAGAGCCAGAAAAAGAAGACAGTTCTGCACCAGAATCTGAGATCTTTCATACTGCTTAATATAATGCCTCAGATATAGTAAATACACAATAAATGATATTGTTATTAAAGATAGGTTTTCTATAAGATTAGAACCTGATAAAAATTTGCAACATTGCTATAGACGGAGCAATTTATACAATGACATACACAGCAGTAAATATATCTGAACTATTGCAACAACGAAGATGACTCATGCAATGTTGGGTAAAAGAAAAAATACTATAGAATTCCATTTACATTAAATGAATCAAAACAAAACAAACAAACAAGGGAAAAGAAACAGTCAGGCAAGTGCTGGGGTAAAGAGGAGCATTTGGATCCTGGCAATGTTCTATTTCTTAACTTGGATGGTGCTAGCTTTATAGTAATCCATTAAAAAGCACACTTGTGTTTTATGTATTTTTCTCTAAGTGGTGTACTTCACAATAAAAAGGTTAAAAAGAGCTAGCAAGGCACTTTAGGAAAGGGAAATGACATCATCCATAGCAAAAGGAAGGAAAACGAATATAAGGAGTGTTTGAGGGAACTGCACAGGATATTATCTATTACAGTTAAGTAGTGAGATCTTATGGAAGAACTAGAGGCCCATTGCACCAGTTGGGTCCCTCAGCCTGGCCTGCGGGATCAGGCCGAAACCAGCTCTCCAACATGTGAGAGGGAGAACCAGGCCTCTAGTATACATATATTTTTGGTTTATTTCTTCCCGCCCTCCTCTTTCCCCCCTTCCCTCTAAAATTCATCAGTCTGTTCCATATTTCTGCCCCATGGTGGTCAGTGGGCATCTTATCTACTGGTCAAAAGGTCGCTTAGGCTTTTATATACATAGATGGTCAGAGATGAGTTTAGAAAAGTAATTTGGAATAGACTGCAATAGAATTTACCCCACTCATAAAAAGCTACTGAAATTTTTATTTTTTTAATTATTTAAAAAAAAATATATTTTATTGCTTTTGTACAGAGAGGAAGTGAGAGAGATAGAGAGTTAGAAACATCGATGAGAAAGAATCATTGATCAGCTGCCTCTTGCACACCCCCTACTGGGGATGCGCCCGCAACTAAGGTACATGCCCTTGACCGGAATCGAACCCAGGTCCCTTCAGTCCCCAAGTCGACGCTCTATCCATGGAGCCAAACCAGTCTCGGCAAAAAGCTACTGAAATTTTAAAATAGAGATATGTCTGGAATAAAGATTAGGAATATTAATTTCGCAAAGATGTGCAGGTGGATGGCATGGGCCATCTAGGTTCCAGAGGGGGATGGAGAGGAGGAGGAGAAAAGAAAGTGTCAAAAATAAACTGGAGATTCTAAACCAAGGTGGCTATGAAAAATGTGGTATCGCTAATAGAACAGGTGAAAAGCAACAGCTAAATGAGAGACAAAAATCAATGACTATAGTTTAAGAGAGGATGATGGGTGAGTCAAGCAGAAATATTCCACAGGCAGTTATTTAGGGGGCAATGGTTAAGGCTAGCGTGAAGGATCTGAGAACCAAGAACATATGGAAGAGTTGAAATAATGGCAAATACTCCAAGAAGGAAGACGTGTGGAAAAGCGGCAGAAGGATGAAACCTGAAACAAAGAGAAGGGAAGGAAAGTGAGATGACATGATCAAAGAAGAAACAGGAAAAATAAAAATCCATGGCTATAAGAAAGATAAGGGACAAAAGTAGTTTACAAAGAAAAGAGCACTTCCCTGGCCGATTTGGCTCAGTGGATGGAGCCTGGGCCACAGACTGAAGGGTCCCAGGTTTGATTCCTGTCAAGGGCATATATCTGGGTTGAAGGCCTAATCCCTGATAGGGGTGTGCAGAAGGCAGCCAATCAATGATTCTCTCTTATCATTGATGTTTCTCTCTCTCTTTCCTTCTTCCTTCCTGTCTGAAATCAATAAAAATGTTTAAAAAGAAAAAAACACTGTCAAATGCAATGTAGGTCAAAAGTGTGAGGAATAAGAAAGGCTCAAAGATCACTACTGAGAGCCTTTCAGGAACTGGTTAAACAGGTGAGTGGTAAAGAAATAAAATTCATATTCTGAGTAGTATTGTTCCATTTGATTGATAAACATTTTCTAGGAAGCAACAATTTTCTAGGAAGCAACAGATTTAAGCAAATGTTTTTGGTGTTTTTTTTTGTTTTGTTTTTGTTTTTTTTTTAACTAGGAGAGATTCAGGTGCATTTTAAAGATACACGTAAGAACAATGGCTTTTAAGGAGAATTACCTGTAATCTAGATATACTTTCAAAATAAAAACTTGCTTGGAAAGTTCAAAAACAAAAAGTTAAAAAGTTTAACATTTTAGTTTTTCTTATGTATTTTATTTTTATTAAGAAAAAGATAGGGTGTTTTATCTTGAAGGGTGTTGCTGGTTTCTGTTCTGTAAGAGCTGCATTTAATACCAGTCACTAAGTGACATTCATCATGGTCTCTGCTATTCAAATTGATAATCATTGGGCCTGATTGCAAAGAATAATGCAGAAAAGATATTCAAGTAGAATCTGTAGACATCTCATGATTATTTCTGGTATTATATTTCTCATCATTCACAAATGGATAGCCATTTATGACAGATACTGGGAGTCACAAGAAATTGCCACGATCCAACTAGAATTATCGAGGTGTCTCATTAATAAGGATCAAATTGATGCCTCATAAAAAGAGAAATGGACAGACATCAACTCAGGAAACTCAGGATGATCTTAAATTAAACCTGTATGCCTCTGGGCTTTGGGGCCTTTTTAAAGTCTCTTGAGCATTTTTAAACAGAAATAAATCTGAGAGGGAGGAAATGAGGGAGGAAGGAAGGAAAAATTACTTGCCCAGGTTCAGAAAAGTAAAGTGAATCACCCAAAGACATACAGTAAGTAATTCAGCCATGATGGAGCTCGTGCAACCTTACTACTTTTCCAAGACAAACTTCCCATAAAACCAAACTACCTTTTATGGGGGTGGGTGCAGGAAGAGGATGGTATGAATCAAAACTGAGCCTTAGTGCTGCATTTTTTTTTTTTAAGCCAAAGAAACAACATGAGTCACAACCAAATCTGTGAAAACAAAGAACTAGAGGTATTCTTACCATCCTGTGAGTGAACACTAAGTACCTTCATATTAGTGACCAGTTCTACTTGAATTTGGTTAAATACAGACCAAGCTTTGTAACCAAAACACTTATTACTCTCATACCTGACTCAGCCCTGCTGTTAACAAAAATACTTCCCCCACCCCTACGAAGAGCATTTTACCCATTCCAAGGGCTTAGGTTACACATATTACATTTGGAAACTGATTTTTATCAAAACCTGCTTTTCAGACTGTGATGAAGGCCAGATTTAGGAAATGGAGAGCACAGC